CAATTTAATCCCTTTCCCTCCAACCGAGCACAAACCGGGACAGCCTCAGCAATAATTATTTTTTTTTAGGAAGGGGGGTCTCAAATGGGAAGGGAATAAGCTTCTCCCTTCAGCTTCAAAATATTGTGGCTCTTGAATCCTTTCTGCTCAGAGCGCAATGAGGCTTCCTGAATTTACAGAGCCCAAGATAAACTCCTATCATGGCAGTGGAGGGTGAAATCTAAGCATAGGTGATACAGCCACACTTCACGGAACCTCCAAGAGTAAGGAACGGCTTTTTTTTTTTTGCTTGCTAGAACCCGTCAAAGGCAACGAAAACTCCTCGTAACGGTCACACTCATTCAACTTTTCAAACGAACTTCTTTAACGCCCCGACGTCTACTACCCCCTCCCCCACGAGAAAGCCCGCGCGCCTCCAAAAGAAAGTTCTTATTGGCCAGTACTTTTACGCGCCGACGTAAGGGCGTACTATTTGCCTCTTTCCGGCTTTCTTTCAGCGCGAATAGGTGCCCGCCTCTTTGCTGCACAACTCTTTAAAGGAAAATGTGATTGGGTCTTTCAAGCGTCACTCCCGTCTTTTTCAAAACTCCCCGGCTGCACGAGAAAGAAAAACGATTGGCTTTCAGAGCTGTCACTCAAGAACGGGATATCTTTTGACGCAAAAGGTAGTGGTAGAACCACTTTAGGTCTTCGAACGGGGGCGTGGTCTGCGATACGGCGGTGGGCGGGCCGTTCAGCGTTTCCTTTGTGTGTGGGCACCAGTAACCGGCTGTGAGCGCGCTTGAGGAGGAGTAGAAGCCGCCATTTTGTGCGTGTGCGCTTCCTCTTCCCCACCCCCTTTCCCCGTTCTCTGCCGGTTAAACCAGGTCCGATCGCCGTGGCCGCCCTCCCGCCTGTGAGGAACGCCAGCCTCGTAGCGTCCGTCTTCGCTAGGCCGCAGCTGCCCCCTGCCGGCGGCAGCAGAGAGGAGGCGAGGAGGAGTTTGGCGGCCTCGGCTCCGGCATGGAGAACAACCAGCTGTGTAAGCTGTTCATCGGCGGCCTGAATGTGCAGACGACGGAGGCAGGGCTGCGAGAGCACTTCTCGGCCTACGGCACCCTGACCGACTGCGTGGTGGTGCTGAACCCGCAGACGAAGCGCTCCCGATGCTTCGGTTTCGTCACCTACTCGGCCGTGGAGGAGGCCGACGCGGCCATGGCTGCCTCTCCGCACGCCGTGGACGGCAACGCGGTCGAGCTGAAGCGCGCCGTCTCCCGCGAGGACTCGGCCCGGCCCGGCGCTCACGCGAAGGTGAAGAAGCTCTTCGTCGGAGGCCTCAAGGGGGACTTGGGCGAGAACGACCTGGTGGAGCACTTCAGCCAGTTCGGCCCCGTGGAGAAGGCCGAGATCATCTCTAACAAGCAGAGCGGCAAGAAGCGCGGCTTCGGCTTCGTCTACTTCCAGAACCACGACGCCGCCGACAAGGCCGCCGTGGTCAAGTTCCACCCCATCCAGGGTCACCGCGTGGAGGTCAAGAAGGCTGTGCCCAGGGA